TCGTCGCGCGGCTCCAGGCGGCTCAGCGAGTCGACGGACCGGGCTCGCTTCACGAGGTCGCGGCGGGGCGCCGGGCGCTGCGCGTGGCCCGCGGCCAGCGACGTGGGCCGCGGAGGTCGCGCGGCGGGCGTCGACGGCACGGCCGGCTCCAGCAGGTGTTCTAGTGACGCGGCGCGTCGCAGCACCGACGGCCGGCTCCGCGGTGCGTCGCGCAGCGCGAGACTGAGGTAGCGCGACTTGAGCCGCTTGACGATGCCGGGCCCGTAGCGCAGCTCCTCATCGTCGTCGGCGAGCGGTGGCGGCGGCGGCGGAGGCGGCGGCGGCGCGGACGGCGGGGCGGGCCGCAGTCTCGCCGCCCTCCGCTGCAGTAGCTCTCGCTTCCATTGCGGCAGCGTGCCGTTGGCCAAACCTGTGCACGTGCATGTGTCAGGCTGCAGTGCCTCGAACTGTTATCTACTGACCATACTTATAAGAACTATTGTCTACTAACCATACTTGTAAGAAAAAGCTTTGTTTTTAAATTTACAAGAATATTGCAGCCAAGTAGGGATGTGTAAATAATGCGAATAACATTATAATTGTAATATCACGCGACAGTGTAATATAACATCACACATCGCTTCGGAAAACGAAGCATCACTCCTAACGTCACCCGACACGACACCAAATATATTAGCTTTATATAATATCATCTTTATTCAATAATTATTGATGCATGATTGTGGGGATTTGTGGCTCCGTGTTGCGCTGGTGCGAGTCTTATCTTCGTAACCGTTCTCAGATCGTCAACATCCGTGCATTTCATTCTCTACCAAGATCAGTACCATAAGGCGTGCCTCAAGAATCACATATAGGACCCTTGTTCTTTTTAATTTTTGTTAATGATTTGGCTACTAAGGTAACACATAAATTCCAAATATTTGCAGACGATTTAAAAATTTATAGGGGAATTCACTCAAGTCAACACTTACTATACTTACAATATGACCTAAATACCATAAATTATTGGTGTGTTGAATATAGGACGGTGCTAAATTATTCCAAATGTTTCTTTATGAATTTTTCTAGAAAAAAGACACCATCAACAATCCTCTAGCAGAAGTCTTTAGCATGCGTGACGTTGGTGTTATTGTGGACACGCCAAGCTAGATTTTAGGGAACAAATAGACTCAATTGCTAAGGTTCCCGACTTGCCGGATTTGTGTCAAGGCAAACCAAATTCTTTAGAGACCCCGAAGTTTCTATTAAATTTTTTAATTGTTATGTACGTAGTATATTAGAGTACTGTACCCCGTCTGGAGCCTATCATACAACGTACACATCGAACGGTTAGAGAGGATACAAGAGAGGTTGCTATATCACCTTTGTTACTCAAACAACCTTTGTCGACAGTTAGTCACGTATGACTTTAGATTAGCCCACTTTGAAATGGTTTCACTACAGAAAAGAAGAAATATAAGCGACCTTATATTTCTGCATAAACTAATAAATGGACAAATCAACAGTTCTCTATGAATGCAGAAAATTCACTTCAACATTCCTCGTCCTTCTAGCCGTCTCGTAAATAGAAAAGCATTCAGTCTTCCACACACTCTTTTTCTTTACTTTTGTAAGCAGTAGAGCTCCTCGTGAAAGAGTTCGTCCAGGAAAGTACTGCCACTTTACTGTATTCCGGTTTTGAGGGCTAAGGGTGCTGGTGAAATTACAGGCACATGAGACTTGTCAACTTATGTTTCAGGGTGACGGGTGCAGTGGCAGTGCCACTCAGAACTTTGCGATTTGAAGCTCTGAGTCGCACTGCAACTGGCGTGTAGCTTACCATCAGGCGCACGACTTGTTCGTCCCGTCACTTAATATTAGAAAAAAAAACACTCATACCAATTCTGGTTAACATTCATGTTTATATCGTACTTGTTCATCATATAATCGTATTTGTCAGGATTTAGATATATTTAACCCCTCAGTCTCTTCTTTTAAGAGATTATTGTTATCCTTATGTTTTTAAAAGTCAAAACTATTTTATTTTGTTTGGAATAATTGTTTTAAAGATAGTACCTAGCAACAGTTTTAAAACTTTATTTTTCTCGAGAACATTTTTATATATATAAAGCTACAAAGAAACTTAGAAAAATAGACGCATACATCCCGATATGGTGGAAAAAATATATTTACACCGTTGTACGCGGATAGGCTCCAAAGCAAAGAATGAAATACGAGAAGACCTGAATGTGGAAAATATAAAAGAGTGATCAACAGTCTGCAAAAACTACAATATATGGAGGGAATATTTGTGCACTTTTATGCGGCACACCTTGGTCAATTTCTGCCGGAAGTAAAAAATTTAAATAAACAAGATGGCCGCCATACAAAATTCAAAGTCTTGTATCACGGAAATTATTAGAGAAAAGTAGGTGCTGGAAGGAATGTCATAGAGGATAACAGTGGTCACCCGCTTGTGTTAAAATTAATTCAAAATGGCGGCCGAAGAAAAACTTGCAGCGAAAATTGGCATGCGGGGGTCTTTACGAGTCCTTAATCATAATTTGGGGACAAAAGTTTATTTTCGCCATTTTTTAATATGGCTCTCATGCAAGCGACTTTTTCGTCAAAAATGGCTGCCGAAAGAGACTTGCTTTGATTGTTCTGCAAATGGGCATGTGGAACTGCCGGATAATAATTTGTTGTCGCCATTTTCAAATATAGCCGGAGCGTCTATGGGGACGCGTTCGTTGGCGGCTGAAAAAAATTTGCCCTGATCCCTTTGGAAATTAGCATACGGAGGTGTTTAAGAGTTCTTAATCATAATTTAGGGTCAAAAGTTTCTTTTCGCCATTTCTCAATATATCATTTTAAAATCTTTGTATAGCAGCCGCTATACAAATATTTTTGGTGGCAGACAAAAATTTGCCCTAATTGGACTGAAAATCGGCATGCCGGGATCTCGGTGGTGTTTCATAGTTATTTCCGGTTAAAATGTACTTTTAGTCATTTTTCAATATGGCTGCCATACAATTTTTAAATGGCGGTTGATAAAAATTTGCTGTAATTGATTGCAAATCGGCATGTGGGGTTCTCTATGGGTGTTTAATAATAATGTGCGGTCAAAATTTACTTTTTGCCTTTTTCCAATATGGCTGCCATTAAAGGGCTATTTAATTTTTTTTTCAAATAAAGTGAGGGCGATACCCGAAGTGTGCGCACGCCAACGTATGTAGGTAGTATACAGAGGCTCTATTACGAGTACAAGATCTTACAATTGTTCAAAATGTAAGGCATACTTCCCGATGTAGTGGAAATGAGATACTTATACCGTTGATGTATTTCCACAGTCTCTCTGTTAGATTCTTTTTCTTGGAAGCTATGCCAAAGAGAAGTTTTTTAGGGAAAAAATGCCAGACAATCACACCGAATTTCTGGTCTCAAGTGGGTCTCAATTTCCTGTACTATGAATACCAGAATAACGATAACTCTGGGGGCAATATCCAGAATACCCAGACCAGAACCAACTCAGAAATGTTCGGTTCCTAAATTGGCCCAAATCGGTCCTGGAACCCGGAACTTCTCATCAAGCACCCATAATACTAATCGCTGTGTCACCGAAGAGCATAAGCACACCCCTAACCTGAACCCGACCACGCACCGCAGGCCGGTCCGACCCCACCGTAGGTGTGGTATACGGCTCGTTAATTACTATGTTCAGCATGCTGTGCTCACAGCGAGAAGGATGTGCACGCTCCGGCTTGTTTAAATGACTTTTGTTCGTTTTTATGTAATTTATTTAGTGTGTATATTCAGTAAGAAGAAACTGCTCACCTAGTTTATTACAGCTACTTCCACGGCGTAATGTCATACGGCATTTTACTGTGGCGGAAAGCAGCTGACGTCGCGACTATTTTTGTTTTACAAACGAGAGCTGTAAAAGGTCCATATAGACTGGGAAACAGGGTCTCCCTTAAAAAAATTTTCAAAGACATTAATATTGTAACGGTAGCATCATAGTTTATTTTTAATTGTATTTTCTATGTCCATCAAAATATTACTGTATTTAAGAAACACAGCGATATACACAAACGTAATACTAGAAATAAAGATAAATTAATCATGCCTCAATTCCGATTGTAAAAAGTTCGTAATTCTTTTATGGAACAAGGAATTACAATAAAGTACCGATCGAAATTGTATATTTACCATTTTGTAAGTTTAACACATATGTTAAAAATAAACTTTTGGCGAAAGGGTACTATACTGTTGATGAGTACATGAACAATAAAAATGCGTGGAGTTAATTAATTTTTTGTATGAATTGTTTTATTTACTTGACTTGTATTTTTTTGTAATCTCTTGTCTGATGTTAACTATTCAAAAGTGCTTGTGAGTCAGGCATACTTGAATAAATCTTTATTACAAAAAAAAGTTCTGTGAATCAAATAAAGAATAATCTCAGTACAGAGTACTAAAAAAACTGACCTCAAAAGTACGTGGAATTACGTCTATTTGCTAAGTTTTATTGAAATATCCCTTAGTTCGCCACTATACGGAACTTGACACAGGAGATAATAAAAATCGGTTCTCACTACTCAAAGTATATTGAGAGAGAAAAACGCCTTGAATTGGAGAATAGCAAAAGCAACCATTAAAATAATTGCTCCTTAAGTAAAATTTAGGCGCTATTTATAAAAATGAATGTTCATGCGTGATCAGCGACCCTCAGAGGTGGATGATTTTCTTCAAAATGAAATGGGACCACTATGATGGTACCCTCTTTCCAACAAAAAAATAATCATGAAAATCGCTTCACAAATACCGGAGTTATCGCGTAACGTACATACAAAAAAAACATACAGTCGAATTGAGAACCTACTCCTTTTTTTGAAGTCGGTTAAAAAAGAAATGATATTATTTATTTCAATTCCAATTCATTAACGTTACACACAATATAATATATCAAATCATTAGAAATAAATGACATTTTTCGGATATTGTACAATTATTGTATTTTTCGTCTTCATTAACGCAGCCGTAGTGCTGTCGTCTACAGTGAAGCATTTTTTCCTATAATGTTAGCAACAATTTTCGCGGCTATTTGTGCGTCTTTCTAAAAAGTTATTACTGTCGAAGAAAATACAATTTACGAATTTTAAAACAGTGATAAGTGATTGCATGGAAGTATATAAATGGTGAGGAGTTATTATAGTTTCAATAAGTACTAATTTCAAGTCCCACCTGTCACAATGAAACATGTATATTTTTATTTTAAAGAATAAATATGCAATCTATTGGCAACAATTATGCTAAGGGTCTTTATTTTTAAATAAAAAGGGTAATTATTTTGGCTTGGTTGGGCATTGCGCACGTAAAAAAAAGGAATGTAAATATTAAGACTTGAAAGTGTGTCCCACCCATCACAGCGATGGGTGAGACACACTTCTAAACGTTTTTACTTTGAATAAATGTTTGTATTTTCATGGATTCAAGTTTTCACGATGTTTACTAGGTATAACAGTTACTTTAATTTCAGAGTTTGACATTTTGATGTGTTAAATTGTGACGATTGGGACGCCATTTTGTGACAGGTGGGACAAGTTATATTTGAATACACAGAATTAAAAAAATACACTGTTTATATGTAGATCCATCATTTGTAAGCAAACTTTTTATAATCCTCATAATGACGACATTTTAACACATAAAAAAAGACAAAAAGTGACAACATTTTTCCTGATGATTTATGAAGTCTGTCTCCACTAGTTTTAACTATATATTGGAGCAAAACTTCTAAAATTTGATATATTTTGATATGATACATTATCTTGAAGGATGCAGCAGAATTTTTCAAATTTATTAGCGCATTTTACACGCGTGACTTTGATTTCATGTCGTCATAGACAGCATTTCAAGAAAAATACTACGATTACTTTATCAGTTCTTTAATTCCGTTTTTTTTTATGTTAAAATGTCTTAATAAGACAAAAATTATAAAATACTTCCTTATTAACGATGGATCTCATATTAAACAGTGTAATTTTATTAATTCTGTGAATTCAATTGTAACTAGTCCCACCTGTCACAAAATCATGTCCCCCATCACAACTTAACATATTAGCCCTTAAAATGTATCAAAGTTATTAATTAAGTGTATATATAAAATAGAACTTTAACATTCAAGTTATCTCATATGAAAAACTTGCTGAACAAAATATTAATAGTTTGTCTTGCTCTTGGCAAAGAAGCCATCAACTCAAACAGGCGGGTGTTGTGACTGTCCCACCTGTCACACTTAGAAAATGAAAAGTTTTGAGTATAAATAACATCATAAATTTATGTAAATAAATAGTTGCAGTTAAATTGTATACCTGGCTTCATGATATTTTCATTTTAAGTGTAATTAACCAATGATTAGGGAGAAATTACTTAAAGTTCAAGAAAAAAGGAGTCAAAATGTCCCACCCGCCACTTTGGAATGGCCCTTTACGAACACATCATTAATAAAGTAATTCACACATTAGATAATAAAGTAATTCAGAGGTGCAAACAAAATGAAATCAGCCAATTTACTTCTACTATTATGTATACTTTACACAGTTAAATGTTTTGATAATAAACAAAAATGTAACTTTTGAGGCAACAAAATATAATTTTCGACTCAAGGGCACTGGTGACACTGGAGTGATGGGTAATGCTTATAATTCATCTCTATTTAGCATAGTACATGTCTATGTGATGTTGTGGATAGTAGTGGTATCACAATATAATAATACTTGTATGGAAATGTAATGTGTGATATCAAATTACTTTACCAGGCACTGTTTTATGCATGTCTACGACAGAGCTAAGTGTACATTTATTACATTTAAAGAAGGCAAAATTGTCAAACGACTACATTAATTGTAACACCACAACACAGGAAAATGTTGGAGATAAGTGACCCTCATTGTTGTAATTTATAACTAGATCCACAAATTCAGGAAAATACACATACTTGAAATGTTCACATATTCCTGCTCATTTGTTATATCGATCTATACTCTATAATAATATACATTTTATTTATGTACACAAACTGACAAAAATGTTGACACTCACCAAAGTCTTGGGACGACTCAAGAATGGTTTCCACCATCATCCTGCTGCCGGTTTCTGCACGCTGTACACACAGATTACGTTACTGCAACACTAGTCACGTTATTTCTAATGTTATTCACAATTTTTACCTCACAAAGTAATCAACTACATTAAATATATTGTTTTAGGTCATAATAAAATTTATTAGATTTGACTTGGACGAATGGTATTTATACAATCAGCATGTGGCATGTGTAATTGATGTTGAACTTGAGCAAGTGATAAATGGATTGGCGCGATAGCGATATCAGCGCGGCGCTGGCGCAGCGCCGGACGTATCCGCCACTGCTCACTCGTCTACGAGTTAAGACCAATGGTATCTGAGGAGTCTACCACCACCCGAAGAGCATCGGCGGAGTATCATCCTCAATAGGTAATGCACATAAAACAAAGCACTGATTGTCCAGAACCATTGAGGTGGCCCTTGTGTAGACAGTTACGAATTTCGTTTACTTGCCTGCTACAACTCCATCGACTTTAGTTGAATTCAAAATGAATCAGCGCTGAGGTTCCTAAGCGAGGAGTCATCAAAACGAATGAATATAAAAATCAGAGGTACTTTTAAAATACGCCGGAATGCAGCGAATGTGCATTCCAGTGTTTAGACTGGATCACACGGCGAGCGGTCGATCACACGCATTGATGAATTCACAACACTACTTGGTGGTACTATGCTCCCTATCGTACAATAAGTTGTCTTGAATGACCTTCGTAGTTAACGCAAAGAACACTTATTTACATTTATTATTTGTTCTAGTAAAAAAACTTAAAAATCAAAATTGATGAAAGTAACACGTCTACAACCATTGACTAATTTTGATTGACTGGCAAATACCAATTCGTTCTAGTCTATGCGCTCTAGAGCGGGGAGGAGCAGCGCGGCACAGCTGACGACCGACTGAGTGAATGGATGAAACAAATAAAAAGTTTAACCTTACTCTATACTACCAAATCGTACGGACAAAGCAGATTGTCCGTAGATCAACAAGACTCGCTAAGCAATGTAGGGCAATTAATACCAGACTTTATTAGTATACTATCCATGAACGCAGCCAAAGGGAAAAATATTTTTATTCAGTGGGAAACTTCGTAAGTACGACGGATTTTCTCGAAATGATACATATATTAATTTACTACTGCCAATGATCTTTTTTTGTTGTTTATAAGATCATTGCCTAGGGCGAAGTATAATAACGCCCGTGTAATTCACGACGTTTTTCAATCCTGAGAAAACAGAGGATTTTCAGTAATTTCTTAAAACAATTAAGTATTCGCAATTAATTTCATTAGTCCCTAGATTTCAGCGTCAAGAGGAGACATTGTTTTGTGACTTCCGTTGCATCAAAACCTCTAGCCGAGTACACCCATATAATTTATTTTTTTTATAAAATATAAGTGCGCATTTGACCTCTATCTCACCTGATGGACAGTGACGACGAGGTCGATGATGGAGTATGCACACCTAAATAATGCCTATTTACTCTCGTTTTGAAAAGACCCAAGTTATAACGTTTAGGGAATAAGTCTGCAGGCAGGGAATTCCAGTCCATAGCCGTTCGCCATATACATGTGGAAGCGTAACGCTTCGTGCGAATCTTTGGAACATCCACAATATAGGGGTGGAACCCAAGCGTACGCCTAGTCCCCCGGTGATGAAATGGGAAGGCGGAATTAAATCGTGTAATCCCATCGCACACTCGTACTAGAGTACTTAAAATAGTCTGTAATATATAGGTACGTCTATTACAAAGGAAAACAACTATTATAATAAAGTTTCGTAATAATTTTACATAACACGTAAGATTTTTCATAATTGAAACAATGTTCAAAGGCAGAATCTCAAACACGTTCTTGCGACTTTTTTGTAGTATAATAGAATAGAATTTCTTTATTTGAGGCATAGACCCAATAGACCTCATAAATTTATGGTTAACGAGTTTGGTTACGGTTACGGATCGGTTTGCCTGTCCAGTTATATACCTATTTGGCTTCGACCATGAGCGCAGAGTTCGTGTTGTTTCTGACGGCTGCGTTTCGACTGTTAACGCCGGAGTACCACAGGGTTCCGTACTACCCCCAACACTTTTCTTCTTCTTATCAATGATATGCTTTCTTTTGGGAACATTTTGCTATGCAGGTGATAGCACAGTTTATGGAGGATGTCTTGGATGCCTCGCGGCTGGACGCGCTGAAACCGAAAGGGAGTGTTCTGATCTTGTCATTGAGCTCAATAGGATTTTGGAAATCATATTCTGTCCTGTTCGATGCCTTGGCCAGTTAGCAGTGTCGCGCCTCACGAGCTATTGGCGATGAAGAGATTTCGTCCCATCTTGAATCTTTGCAACTACAACACTATTGTAGGTGAGACGTACCAAATATCGGATACTTTTTAAACATTCGAAAAAAACACTAATATAATATTTAAAAATTAATATTTATTGCACTCACAGGGTCGTATTCTAGAACTCTACTCAATGCACAAGTCAGGATTTAAGTATGGTTTAAAGGACTCAAAATCATACTCAAGTCCCTGCCATTAGGGTCGTATTTCCAATGCTTGTGTTTCCAGTGCAATCCTGACTTGAGCATTGAGTAGAGTTCTGGAATACGACTCACAGTCATTGTCTATCTAAAGACTTTACTTATTTGACTTGACTTACTTAGACTTAGAATATTTATTTATTTTTAATAAAAATTTTGCTTTAATTAGAAAAATCAACAATGTTTTCTCATGTACCCTAATAATGGATATCCAGTACAGGTGTACTATTCAATATTGGATATCCGGGTACACTTTATTAACCAGGGCATGTATTTAACGGTTATCTTTTTTAATGATCCCACGACTAAACAAATAATTAAACATTTGAATGTGAAGAACACTATAGAACCAGTGATATAGGTACCTACCCCAGTATCGGATCTCTAGTTTTGTGGATAACTTGGTTGTATTTTTTATCGAGTTCTTAGGTTTTCGCGATTGTTACACATAGGGAATGAAACTATTTTTCCGGATTTAAATCGCGTATATTTGTTTTTTCAAACAAACCGACGTTTCGGGCCCTTTACAAATCTTTGTTTCAGAGAGCATATGGTGTCTGCGACAGTAATCATCTGGCGGGGAACTTCAGCATATAAAGCAAGTCCTACATGCGAATAAGTTGAGGATTCCACGCCAATGCCGCAGACCCCGTGTGAAACCACCAACAGTCGAGCGAAGACCTGCCATCTTACCTTACGTGAGAGGTGTTACAGACAAGATCGGAAGAGTCCTCAGGCGTGCATCTATCAAGACCTATTTCAAGCCCTTGAGGAAGGTTTCTCAGTTCCTGAGACCCGTGAAATGTAACATCCCCTTACAGGATGCAGGAGTTTACAAGCTTGACTGTGAGTGCGGTCTCTCTTATATTGGACAAAAAAAGCGAAGTATTTGTACCCGCGTCAAAGAACATATAGCTGATGTCAAACACTGTCGCGTAAACAAGTCTGCAGTCTGCGAGCATGTCATGGATAAACCTACACATTCAATGAAGTTTGACAAACCCCAGATCCTTGCAAAAGAAGTCCGTTATCTGCCCAGGATGCTGCGAGAGGTCATTGAAATTAAAAAACACCCTAATTTCAACAGGGAAGATTGTTTCTCCGTACCACCAGTTTGGGATCCAGTATTTCCTCTCATGAAAAATCCCAAACAGACATAAGACTGCAGTACTAATTAATATGTTTTAGTTTATACTAATTTCTATTAATAATTAATAATAAATTAAACTCAATAAAAATTCATGCAATAAAATAATTTGTAAAACTTAATGTAGCGTAAATTGGAATGTTTTCTTTGTAAAATTAAAAATAAGGTATTTAATTAATAACTATTGTAACTATAGTGAAAAAATAGGGTGGTTTGCATTAATATTAGACATAACTGGTTGAAGACTGTAAAACCTCAGTCAACCGTGACCATGGGACCTGTAAAGGGCCCGAAACGTCGGTTTGTTTGAAAAAACAAATATACGCGATTTAAATCCGGAAAAATAGTTTCATTCCCTATTGGTTGTATTTTCTTTATTCACTAGCTGTTTAAAAATATCTCGAGAAATATCATTAGAAATTAATAAAGATCTGTTACTGTCTAATATAAACTGGTTAATCCTACTATAAGGAGCAAAAATATGTATTGATTTAATTCTTTTCGCAGCTAAGGTAGTAGTCATTGTTTTTATTAATTAGTTTTTTGAAATTGCTTTATTCCGACTTCGCGGAAACAAAGTGAAGAGGGCTCCACGCCCTCTTCTCTTTGTTTGTCACACACAATGGATACAGTTTCTGATTTCTTTGCCAAATACAACTAAGTACTTGACATTTGAACTTGTTTCCATACTATGTCGCTCGTCAAATTGTAAGTCTTACGGCGCGTGCACACGCTAAGAAAAGTCAACGGATCTATGCAAGAATTCGTGTCGTTTCTACTCACGAACTGTGTACACAGCCTCGGCGCCGGACAAGAAAAAAATCTTGTCTAGCCCCGACTCGACGCACTCTGCCGTTATTGTATGGGGCGCATTGTCAGTAAACGACACGTTTATGCGCGTGGACTAGTGTTGCAAAGCACCACTGTTGCACCACAAATTTTCTTGCGACTAATAAAATGCATGATTTACTTATAAGTTTAGTAGAGGAACGACTTGAATTGTGGGACAAAATCTTAGAGATATATAAAGGTAAACGACGTACTTTTATGGCATGGAGAGAAATATTTATTATTCTATACATATAATTTGCAATCACCATTTTTTTTTATTAGTATTCAACATATTTCTTCATACAGTCGGTAGTAAACCGACAACTACCTGGAAGTGCACTGACACGTTTGTCCTAAACACGTCTGCCCGAAAGCATTCGTATTGTGTAGGTACATACTCATCATTTTCTTGTCTGCAACAGACACGACATATTTTTCTGGCTAGACCCGACAAAATTCTTGTCGTGTACAAGGCCATTCTCGCCTTTTTTGTTGCAGACACGACGAATTTCTTAGCGTGTACACGAGCCGTTAGTCGGGCAATCTGTAGTGTTTTCAATCTTAGATATGATTCTAACAATGCAATTTTTCTTTCATTGTATGTTTTTCACTGCCATAGGGAAGCAAATGAAGTTGTTGTATTTGTGCAAACAACTTCTAAATTAATACATCAATCGAACACTTTATGCGCCTCGTTTTCTACTAATTTGGTGTTAATCAGCTGTGTCTGTATAATATTGACATTAGAGGGTAATTTGCTGTTTGCGTCTTTTGTTATGTCAGCTGTGTCTTTTGGAGATATTATATTATATACCTACTACTTTTGCTAGATATATCTTCATCAGTCTGATTGGTAGTCCATAATTGGTTTAATGTAGTTATACGAGTTGGCTAATTGGTATGACTGCATCACTTGCGTTTGTATGCGGTCCGCGTTCATTGATTTATACCATTTGTTGTTATCGTTAATGTAACTTTTTTTCTAGTTTTTCTTGTGTTGTCTCTTCTGTCTGGTTCACTGCTGCTATGATCGAAATCATGAATTTGGTTTGATGATTCGCTGCATCTATGAGTTTTCGGTGCAATGAGTTGATGTCTCTATACACTTCGTCTTTCACACCAAATGTAGAAGTTAAGGCTTGTCCTAATAAACCTCTTCTTTTTCTAGTATGCTTGATTTCATTCGTATGTTCTCATAAATGTTTTCTTTTTTCTCGCAGGTGAGCATAGTATTAAGTGCAATACGTCTGACCATCAACATTTATTGCGTACTCACAAAAGTGTCTCAAATTGTTTTGTAGCATCTCTTA